CGGGGGCGCGAGCACGTGGCACGGAGATGACGTCACCGACTGGAAGTATCTAGGCATATCTGGCGCATCGTGAATAATTACGTCAACTGTCCGCTCGTGTCCATTGTCTTCCAGTTTGGGTCGCGTGTCGACATTGTTTAGCCGCTCCATGTTGTGCGAGGTCACGTCCTCGCTGTCCTGCCGGGGGGCGGCCTCTGTTGTCGCATCGTCCCGACACTCCTCACAGGTGCATGGAGATTCGACGCCGCTCTGGAATTTATAAGAAATAAATACCTCCTTTAGTAACAAAGTAATAAATCTTGTGCGCAAATCTCATTAAAAATGTCTATACTCTAGCACGACTATATACGTAACATCATCGGTTTTAAGAGTTAAACGCTTTGCAGTGTTTACCTACATTACAGTTAATGCCGGGCACGTGCAGATTGCAGATTCATTCATATTAATTGTTTACACTACAATTGACGGATCTTAAATAAATGAATACTTATAAGATACAATAGGGGTTTAATTTTGAAATGGAGTTGGGATTTAAGAATAATCGCATTAACACTCGTGTTTAATTATCACAGAAACAGGCCATATTTCTCACCGAACGTTTTCGAAATAAAAAGTTGGCGCGCGCATGTCATTTTAAAATTACGACTTAACGTCAGCCGCCAGATTTGTCACGGTTATGACGGCTGGAGTCAAGAAATGTTACAAGAGCGAGATAAATATTCGCCTGATATCATCACAATACCAAAGGAATTTTATTGTAAACTGTACAACGGATATTTGGCACCACGATATGATACATTTTTGAACGAATTTGATGTTTTCCGCATTGGAATCGCATTCCAAATTTAAATTACTGTCAAAAAATGTCACATGATTGTTATAAGATATTAAATTTCAAACACAATATAATCCAATGATTTACAACATGCATTATTACATGTACTTTCGTTTTAATATAATTTTAAAATCGCAAAAAACAACACCACTTTTAAAAATAATAAAACACCTTTTGAGCGTCGAAATCGTTTCGACGAACGCATGTTTTTTAATCACTTTTTCACAAGCTGCCAGTTCGTGGTCGTTCTGGACGCAACTGAGTTTATTTATAAGATTTTAACACTAGGTATATATTATTTTCATGCACACTTCTCAGCCGCCCTTGACTTATTTTCTCCAGTAACACTAAAATCATATGAGGACTTTTATACAAGTATAAAGCGCGGTTTTATATGAACTCTGGGATCTATAACTTCCTAATAGCGAAGCTATTTCTGTTAGGTTGATCTTGCGACGCAGAGGTACGATACGTCAGCCGGTGAACGCGAACTCGGCAAACTGTGTCTTTTTACGTGAGTTTAATTTTGTTCATGATGATTCAATACTAAAGATCTTTACTACTTTAGTTTATAAGAATTGCCAGCAATAATTAACAAACGATTTTAGAACGATTGGAGACAAATTAATTGATTTCAAAAGCCAAAAGACTTTCCGGAAACCCTAACAATCAATGATAATTCTTTTTGGAGTCGATCAAGAATTTTAAACGGTTACAATTATACATAAACATAGTCTCTTCTTGTTGGTCATACAGACTACATATTTATGCAAATATGTAGTCTATATGTCTATGTCTATGCACTGCAGTGGTAGAATCCTGACTCAGCTTTCTTTTGCGTAACTCTACAGCAATATCTACCTTGTTCCCCTCCTCTGCCTCCTCAGGCACGACGCTGAGGTCGTGGAAGGCGACAGCACGCGCAGAGTCCACACTGGCGCACTCCGGGCACGCGCTGCTCACCGACGCGCTGTCCTGCCAACACACAATGTGCTTTATTCACAAAACATACGGCACACTTTCGCATACTTGCGTTGCAGCCCCCCTAGATAAAAAAGTGACTTTCGATTAGTGATATCGCTTGTAGAATTAACAAAATGTATCAAAACGTATAGCATTGAACACGTGACAAGCACGTAACTTATCAAATGTCAGTTCCATACATTTTTGACTTTTCGAGCGACAGCGATAATCGAATGTTACTTTGTCGAAGTGGGATCATATTGTGACACTGTCGCCAAAGGAGAAGATAATCCTTTCTGCCATATTTACTTAAAAAGATGTAACTAACAATATTTACAAGACTGCACATTTTATGAAATAGTAATAAAACTAATGAGAAAATAAATTAAAAAGCATGCTCGTAAATATTTTCGTGGCCTGGCTTTTATACGTAGAGATGTCTTAGAATCACCTGTGTTTCATACTTAGGTTTTATTTAGACTACGTGTTATTGTAGGAATAGAATCTATTATAACTTTAATTCATGCTCTATATATAAAATATTAATTTGTAAACGGTGTCCGTACGTCCGAATGTTCCGGCGAGGAGCGTCGTTCCCGCAGCATGCTGTCCAGCCGGTCGTACTCGTAGCGAAGCGCTGATATCTCTCTCTTTAATTGCTCGTTTTCTCTCTTTAACTTCTTAATATCTGATTGACCTATGAAAAGATAATTTAAATTACATAATGAAGCTATTAAATGATGGTAGAATAGCAAACAAAGCAGACACTGTTGAATGTTGTGTTGAAAACAATTAAGGCGGGAATACACTAGACAGAAAAATGGAGTTGTAGTTTGTAGTTTGCATGCCAGTGACTGGCACAATGCATAAACATATGCTAATAAAATGGAATAGCAGCTTGCATGCTACAGCTTGCAGCTGTATACTTATATCAGTATGTGCTACTAGCATTTGTTTTCTTGTCTTTAGGGATGGTAAGGTATTTGCGACTTCTGTAATTGTTGCAGAAGATAATAGCTTCTATAGAGTGTAGTAAAACTGGTTGGCCGCTTATCAGTATTTGCTACTGGAATGTGTATTCCCATCTTTAGGGATGGTAACGTAATTCAACTCCAGTTGAAAATAATAGTGTAAGGTGTAGTAAAATTCTAGTTACCTCTCTCTACTTCTGCATTTATATTGATCGTACGCAACCTTAGCTCCTCGTTCTCGTAGAGCATGCCCCGAGAGGACTTCCTGTCCAACCTGGTACACAGGAAATGTAAGAATTATCTACAGATATCAAGTATTAAGATTCTAATGTGTGCTGTACTAAAAAGCTGATCACGTAATCATCAAGCGACTCTGAAAGTTACATATTACATAGTAATAGTACCTTTATTATGTTAAAGGATTTGAGTGATGACGCGATCAACAAATTGGGTAAAGCAGCGCACACACGTGACACGTGAGCTGTAAGCACGCACGAGTGCGCTCGAGGACTCATTCACACGTTTGTCGATGCCCTAAGACTTTTTGAGGGTTGTCGATTTATAAATAAAATGTTTATCGATTTATATACAATGTTGGAATTGTTAAACCAAGATGAAGTGAAGCCTTTGAGAATAGTAAACTTGTTCCCAGTTTAAAATTTGATAGAAAATAATTCTTCAAGATCATGATGACTTCTTGTTATTTCTGGACATTATAAAGCCAGTTATAAATCAGATCTGACATCTGTACAATTTTAACTAACCTGGCTTATTTTACATAACTGTTCACCTCACGATTTGCTTTCAATTTCTAAAATGATGTGGGTTTTTTTAGGATTTAACATGCTGTTATAGCCATGATTGAAGCTTATGCGGGTCAACACGCCGTGTCCAGCGTGTTTGAAATCCTTGTCATTCCTAACTTACGGAAGGTTCAGAGCCCCTACAATTTGTCTATTGTCAGACATGGTATGCATACGTGTGTGTGTTTTTTATAGAGGGAAAAATGCTGTATAGAATTATCAGACGTAGGAGCTACATGTCTGGTGTGTCGGGCTTAGGGTGATGCGTGTGTGTTTGTCTGTAATACTAACTTCCTGTTGGGCTTGACGTTGACATCCTTGCGCCTGGTGCGAAGCATGCTGGCTCCCGTCATGCCCGACATGATGCTGCGCTGTCGCCATGCGTCGAACAACAGCTGAAACAAAACAATACATTGTAATGTAGTTGTAAAATAATAAAAAGCCCTACACTTACGTCATGTTTTAGGCTATACATTTTAACGCCATTAAACTTAGGGGGTATATATTTTGGATAAAAGCCCTAATGTGAGAAAGAGACCATAAGTTGCTGCCAACATCCAGGAAGCAAGATTGCCGAGGTTTGTAATATCATGTCATTTTGACATTTGCAATTGATAATATGACAAATGTAAACAATAAAATAAAATTTTCATAATTTTATGCGGATGAAACCGCACGGGAACAGCTAGTAAGAAATAAAGACGAAAATGAAAATGATACAATTTTGTTTCCTTTTCGTTGTGATACTTTTTTAATAATGTTTATTACTTGCCTACTTTTCATATTTGAAGTACTACTTGTGTACTCTTCGTATACTTATAGGCTTCGATTGATCGAAAGGTTGCCTTAATTAAGAACCTTATGCGAATGAGGTCGTTGCTCTACTTTCTGCGAGATTTTTCTCAGAGAAGTTAATATTTAAATGAGTTGTTGAGAAATGGGAAAAAAAACTTCGGTAATCTAAATACGATATTTCGTGTATTCAGTGAGATATTTTATTGCCAAAAACCGTAAAGAATAGTCCAATTATTCATGAATTTTTTTATCAAATTTTTGATAATAATTGCTTGTTAGCAATAAATTCACTTTGATATAAACTATAAATATGTTTTGAATTTCAAAGAATTGCATTTACAATTATTAAGGAAGTCAGAAAACTGATAAAATCAATATTGTTTGGTTATTAACGGCTACTAAGCCGTACACTAGTACATTTTGGGTAATGATAGTTGCCCCCCTCTCCTAGAGTGCCAAAACAGTAAAGTAACTAGTTCTTCGAAAACCACCATATCAACTGCCCTCCCTAGATCTAAACTAGATTATTTACTGGTAATGGTGTAGTTTTAATTAAAGAAATTTCCACTAAGGCAGTCTTAACCATAATCGACTCTGAATCACGGTCATATTAAATGATTTCTAGGTATCTCCTATTGAGTACTTGAAAAATCATTTGTTAAACTAGAAATATCTGTAGCAGTGTTTCTAATAGGATAAAGTGAATTGAATTTCAAAGGCAAAGGCTACATACGTTGACGTCGCCCGTAGCGCTGCGAAACCTTACATTGTTCCATTGTATTTCCGTCTGTATTTCATTGAAGTGACTGACCTCAGGTAAAACTAGGAATTCTAGTGCTAATTTTAGTAGTCATACAATTCAAAACATTTTATATGAGAAGTTGTGGAGGCTCGCGAATATGTCAGCGCAAAATTAATAAAAAAGTGGCCTCTAACATAACCGCGTCCATCAGTTACCTCTCCGTCAATGTCCAGTCAAAATCCATTTGTATCGGTGGTTAACCGGAACATATTTGGCTTGTGGACAGACAGACAAACAATTTAAAAAATCGTCATAATATTTGTAGTTATCAGCAACGCAAATACATCATGTTCGCGTGACACTTTTTTCAATATTACATAAACACGATCCGTTTTTATTTTATTTTCTAATCAATTCGATGCATAAGCTTCTGTCGATAATCGATTAAATTTTTATCATAATTACGTTATTAAAAAAAATACAAAAAATTAATGATTGTTATTCTTACCGTCAAATAGATGAAAAATCAATTTCCAGTTTTATAGTTTTGTTTAAAACCGCTCTTTACTAAATTCTAATATAATTAAGTAAAGTTCCATATTTAAAAGCACATGACGCAATACAAGTGTTGACGGAAAACAATTAAAAAGAAACATACGTACATAGAACACACCGTAGAAGTCGAGATGAAAAGCAATCTTTTGTATTTAGTTTTTTACATCTACCTACAAATTGTATAACATTCCGAATGGCCGACTTCCGTAAAGAGTACGACGAACGTGACAATTTCTACAATAAATGTTGCTACAGTAAAAAAGTATATTTTAATATTTTTAATTCCACTTGCCACAATCAATAACTTGTACTAAATTGAAAGCGCCTGACATAAAATAATAGCACTTGGCCGATTTTTTTATCTCCCATCGGTGGGGGTTGAGGGGGGGTCGTTACTACTCGGTAGAGTACTTCATATAAAAATCACTCAAGTTTCTTAAGTGTATAAAGTTTTGATAAAACCGTGTAGATACTAACGAAGACCACTTCTTCTATCGATGGACCTTAACCTTTTGATATTTTCGTCGTTATTGTTTAGACTAGTTTTTATCCTACGGTTTCGCTCTCTACAAAAATAGTTATAACATTTATGGCCGTTATTTAAATTATAAATTTAATATTAACCTAGTTGTTTAACAATTGCAGAGGTTATGCTTGTTATTTCCGTTTTCTCCTAGAGAATAAAGATTTAGCAATTTAAAACTCAGAAAATTCTTGGACAATAGATTTGTTAAGAGGAAAACATCTAGTTAGTTCAAAGGCCCGAGGGACAAACGAAGTACGCTCTCATTTAAAACTTCACAAAGGTGAAATAGAAATAAAGACGTTTCCAGTCCAGTGCAAACTTGTCGAATCTGCAGTGTCTTGGAAACTAGCATTTAATATGCATGATGGAAGACTGTACGTACTCCGATTAAACGTGTTTGAGACTTGCCTTTCTAATCTATAGTATATATTATAATGAAGCGTAAACACACACTTTTTTGTAACCTAAGATGTCACCAATTACAACATATTTTTGAATAATTCTTTTTTTAATAAAAAGCCCTACACTTACGTCACGCTTTAGGATATATATTTTCACGCCATTAAACATAAGGGGCATTTTGGATAAAAACCCTAATATGGGAAAGAGACCATGGGTTGCTGCCAACATCAAGAAGCAAGATTGTCAAGGTTTGTCGTTTCATGTCATTTTGACATTTGCTATTGATAATTTGACAAATGTAAAAAATAAAATAAAATCCTCATAATTTCATACGGATGAAGCCGCACGGGAACAGCTAGTTTAAAATAAAACATTTACTATTTTGATAACTTATTCAATTGTTTTAACCGTTTATTCGTGAAAATAATGAATTTCATTTTAAGACGTTTTTAGTTTGCAATCTGTACCCAAAAAATACTATTCAAGCTTCTTTTAGTTTTTACCAAACAATCTGATTACTTGCCAACTATTTAGACATCTGTATTTATGCTTTTTCATTTCGCTTATAACAATTCCTGTGGTCCAGTTAAAAAGCAAATACAAAAGCGGATATTACGGTGATGCGACAAACTGTGTCTGTTTGTAATGTCCAAGAAAAAAATCCAAATTTCCTGAAGATGATGTATTTACGTTTCTGATAACGAAAATCGCTTTTGAAAAATTTTCGATTGTCTGTCTGTCTGATCGCAAGCCGCGTTTGTTCCGGGTAATCTCCGAAACGGCTGGGCCGATTCCGACCGGACTTTACTGGAGGATAGCTGACACGGATAGGCATATTATAGGATACTTTTTTAAAAATTCCGCGCTGTCAAAATGGGGTAACGGTAAAGATTTGCGCTAACGAAATTTCCGGGCAACAATTCGTTTTTTAAATAAATTTAATGGCTTAACTTTCGTTAATCGAACTACATGTACAGTCCCGTAAAGAAGTTTCAAAGTGTTTCATTCGACAAACTTTTTTTCTAACGTGAATATTATATTCCAATATTAACTTATCTCGCATTAATCTGTTCTCCATACACCGTCTACTTAGTGTTGTCGAATGGCGCGCGAGCTGAGCTGCTCTCAGGGACGCCTCGTGTTGACTATAAGTACAGTCGCATACATGTGTTAACACCTTTAATTTTACTAATCTTCGAACGTGACAACGTACGCCAATATATCTTCGTATTGAATTACCACTTTACTAGCAATATCATAATTTTTTTCTTTAATTTGCTGTAAATTTTGTAATTCACAATATGCGTTAATTTTGCCTGTGAACCCACTCATATCCCACGAAATCCATTTTTTCTAGATACTGGCTTATTTATTTTACAGCAGTGATTCCGTCGGACACTTTATTTGGGTGTCGGGGGAAATCTTTAAAACATACCATGCTTTCTGGTGGGAAGGCAGGGTTATGTAAGATTTGGCTCACTAAAACCCCCTGGGTGGCCAGCCTCTAGTGATATAGTCGAAGGTTCCGGGATCTCCAAGGAACACACCGGAACCTTTGGCAGTCTTGGGAACTTAGTCACACGGCACGGGGACATAACAGGATGAAATATTTTTTTAGCGTTGAATTCACCGAAAGCAGTAAAGTCATATCAAGAGGAATAACTTTTTCATATTTTATCTTGAGTTTATTTGCATATTTTAGTTAAAAAGTTCTTTATGATGGTATTCAAATATTTATTTGATCGTCGCAGTATTCTCTAATCCGCCGCAACAGCCTTCAGCGAGGTTGGTGTCGCGGCGATGCAAGGGCGACCTACTTGTATAATAAACAATCGGTCGACATCGCCCGTATCAAGTACATTGGATACAGATTTTGTTTATAAATGACTAGATGTTGCTTGCTACTTTGCCCGCGTGAAATTAAAAAAAAGCCTATATTACTCACTGATCACGTAGCTTTTTATTGGTGAAAGAATTTTTGAAATCGGCCCTGTAATTTTTGAGTTATTTCAATACATATAAAAATACAAATCTTTCCTCTTTTTTAAGCAATTTTTAGATGTTGACGAGAAAAAATGTATAGAATTTCGGTCATTGTAAAACTTTTTAAAACGTTCGGAAACAAACAGCAAGTGACGTTAGGTACAATCGCGGAAATCCGCAGTGTCCTATTTCAGGAAAATTGCCTTGTTCATTGCAACGAGACATGCTCTGCCTCTACAAATAGTAAGTGCAAAAGAAGGGATAATAATAAAAAATCTAGCCGTGTATAACCGATTTTTTTTTACTGCGTTTTATTGCTTTTGTTTCGTATCTTGTTTCAAAATATTCGAACCATTGTAGCTGTAAAGGGGGAACACCATCAGATTCTCCGACTGTACTTCAAAACTTGGCTATGAATGTAGTACTATAGGGGTTCATAGGTTTAAAACTATCCTCTACTATTAGGCCCTCAACTAGGTTAAGCATAAAAATAAATAAAAAGGGGATAAATCCTTACTGAAAATAAACTAATCTTAAACATATAAATTTTTAATTTATTATAAGTATAATTAAAACTTGTCTACTTAACTATTTATTGTTTTTAACTTACTAAAATTCACTAGTTTTTATAAAAAAAAAAAACTATTGAAACTCTAAACAAAGATGTATGCATTAATTTAACTATTCAAACTAAATAACTGCATTAAAATCTATTCTATATGTAATTTTAGGATGCACAAATATACATACATACATATCTTCAAGGTGATTCCATTGGGGTGTTTAACCCACTTCGGGCCGCGTCTACCAAAGATGCATTTCATTAATATGTGTGTAAAATTACGTATAAGGCTGGGTTTCCATTGATACACCTGCATAAATATCGTTGTCACATTTTAATTCAAGTTATTTGTTTGTGTTTTTTTTATAACATAAGGTGGCAAACGAGCAAGCGACCACTAGAATCCGCCAAAATGACGAAGCGACCGCTGCCCATAGACATCCGCAATTGCATATGCGTTGCCTACCCTTATACGACGGAGGAGGAAACGCACATAAAGAGGATATTTCCCTTTCCTATGCATCTCCTCCGCCGTCTAATCCAGTTCTCCTTTCCAACCTCTCCTCATAAGAAAAGGGTGGTAAAGTGAAAGGGACTTAAATTAGGCCTCCGGTACCACACTCATTAGACGAAACACGGAATTGCTTCCATTTCACGCCTGTCTTCTGTGTGGTCGTGGTATTGCAACGGGCGTGCCGACCCATTCGTGCTAAGATGTTAAAGCGGGCACTACCACAGTTAAAATTTAATCTATTTAAAGTAATTAAAAGATTAACGCTTGATCGAAATAAAAATAGTTAATTAGTGATTTTTCCAAAATTATGAATAATGACTTAATTATTTCTTCATGAAATATTTATAATAGTGATGATGGGTTTTAGGATATAGGCTGTGATTTAAAAGCAATATAACTAATGTCAAATAAGTAAAATACAAAATGTCAATTTAACAACTAGCTTAATTAAAACCTAAGTAATTGGCGCGGGAAGTGACAAAATATTAAAACAATTGCAAGAAATAAAACAAAAGTAAAGTAACTTTCAATTATTAATTGTAGGTAATTACTATTATCTTACTAATATTATAAATAATAAAAGTTTAGATAGATGGATGGAAGTTTGTTAGAATTTGTGGCCTAAACTGGACGGATCTCGATGAAATTTGGTATAGACGTAGAGGATAGTCTGGAAGAACACAGGCTAACTTTTGTTTTTAACTCCATGCGAACGGAGTAACAGGCGAAAGCTAGTACACTTCTATAAAAATAGTTATTTAATGTGACATTTAAAATGTTATTAACATAAGGTTTTTATTGTATTTTATTTACTACGTAATATAAAAAATCACTTTTAACAAACTGTTATAACTAAAAGTTATAATTCAATTAAATAACTTATACATATAAAAAAATACATTATGTTGTACTAAAAGTAACTTACTTCTTTTGAGATATCGTTCAGCAAGTAGGGTTGTAAGTTGTGAAGTATTAATTGGATCAGTCGATGCTGACTCGGTCGCCCTGAAGATCGTACTGAGCCCGGCTGATGACCCTTAACTGCCACTCCATTTCACTCATGCGCAGTACACACTTTATCACACATTATTTTACGCCTATATTTACAAACTAACCTTACAAAGATATCATATATAAAATTAACTTCGACTCGATTGAATAATGAAAATCATATTGAACTTTTTTTATTTACTTGATTTGATTTATATATTGTATTATATGTTTTACTATTTTTTTTACATCTGCCTCAATTAGTAATTTAAAGATTCACTTAAATAGTCACTTAAAATGGATTTCTCGTATTTAGCGACTAACTTAGTGACGACTTAACGTCTCTCAGTTTAGCAGTTGGTTTACTATTTAGCGATAGCTATAAAGCTGTCTAATACACAAAATGTACTTTTACTATTCTTATTAAAAGATTTTTCAAATAAACTAGTTAAAGTGATTCTTAAAAAAAAGGAAGGAGATTTTTCTCAGTTTGCGTAAATTGGCTTGAAAATATATGACTGGTATGAATTTTAGAAAAAACTTAACTATACTTCTTTTAATTATTACTTGTTATAATGTTAAAGATTAGTACGTTTATAAGTACACTTGTTTTTTTTTAGTCCTCGTTTTTAACTTTTATACTACTTTTATTAAAGCGCCCTCTGTGTTATCAAAGACACAACAATGTTTTGTTGATCTGAGGAGATTCTTATGTTGAATAATAGATGTCGCTGTCGCTAATAAAAAATGAATATTTCGAAAATCGAATGTGTAAAATTGTAACAGCCAATGTACGTAATGCCCATAGATCAGTTTTTTTAAATATTGCTTTATCCAAATCCTCTTACGTTATTATCTATCGTCAGGCGTAAGAAGTAAGAAGGCAAGACGATTGGAAGTTGAATCGCAAAATAATAATGGAAGCAAAATTAAAAGAGTAAATTGGGGACATAGTTCTAGCGTCTGGTTTCCGCTTCCACAACAATCAGACAGACCAGACCCTAAAATAATTTTCAGACAACTTTAAGTCTAGGCAAACTATATCGAATACATCAGATATTTGGTAGAATAGCGAAAACAATTTACGAATAAAATTATGTTATTGTACAAAGTTTTAGAAAGTTTATCGACATGCATTGTGATAGCGACGCATACACGAGCGAGCGAGCGAACAAGACGGCGCGAGAGCGAGCGGGAGCGGGAGCGGGGCGCGGGCGGACGCACCGCTCAGTGTCTCGCCGCGCGGCTCTCGCAGCGCCCGTCTCCGCTCCCGCCTGCGCAACCGCTCCGCTATGAAGTCTAAACTCAGAGGCGTCAGGTCCAAAAACATGGACAAACTGATATCAGCCGTCCAGGCTAGGGAGTGTTTATGGGATAAAAGTTACAGGGGCCACAGGAACCGGTTTAAATTGGAGCGGTATTGGAACGAGGTCGCCGCGGAAGTGGGCACGACCAGTGAGTTAATAGCGTATTCGCTTCGCTTGTGAAGGTGAACGCCCGTCGCGTCCGCCATAATGCCCCGCGCTTTGTATTCGCTCTTACGACCAACGCGTCTCGAATTCAAACAATTTGACAGTTTGAAATATAGACTGATGACAATAATATCGATCCAACGAATGATTTCTTATATCAATGTAACATCCGTTTATATTTTTATTTATAGTAAACTTATAGTGTGGGAAATACTTTTGAAATGTACTTCGGCTGCCTTTATTCCTAACTATTTTTTTACACATTTCCAAGTACCCAACAACCTCTGTGCTAAGCGGTTAGGTTTATTGTCATGTCGAATTCCCAGATTAAGATTTAAAGTCAGTAAAATTAGCCTTAATAGAATAATGACGTTTTAAAATGAACATCAATTACTTTTGAATGTTTACTATAATACTGTGTAATATACTTCATACTAATATTATAAATGCGAAAGTTTAGATGGATGGATGGATGTTTGTTAGAGTTTGTAGCCTAAACGACTGAACAGATTTCGTTGGTATTTGGTAGATGTAGAGGATAGTCTAGAAGAATACATGCTACTCGCTTTTGTTTTTTTTTAATTCCACACATACAGAGTCGCGGGCGAAAGCTCGTTTGACATAAATAAACCGATCTGTTAGATATTTATCTAGTTAATAAAATGTTTCAGGTATAAACTGTAGAAAGAGATGGAAGAATCTGAAAGATCAATGCAGGAAAGAGATGAAGAAGAATCCGAACGAATCGGATTGGCCGCATTTCAAGAAACTGAAATTCATCCATCACCAGTTCCTGACTGAAGAAGGTGATGGTGATGAGGATACCACCGATGAAGTGTTCAACTCGTTAGATGAGTCGATAAAGAGACCGAAGCTCGGGTATACGATGAGAAAGAAGTTATTAATGAATAAACGTAGAACTATAGATGTGGACATGAACAAGTTGATCGATTTAGTGAGACCTATGGATTTGATTTGGAACAGACAGTTAAAGGGTCACCATAACTGGTACAAACTGGATGAAAGCTGGAAGGAGATCGCTAAGGAGTTGGGAGTTACGAGTAAGTATTATTTTAGACTTTTCACTTGAAATTTACTTACCATTACTTAATGGTTTGTACGGACTATCGATATTAAAGTCGACAGTTCGAATCCCGCCATTTGACTATTGTGAACCATATCCTAGCACAAGCCTAGAGCTTAGTTGGAATGGTTAAAGGAAATATACGTAGATTAATAAAAATCTAGTAATATTTCTAATAAAAAAATAATTGGAAGTGGACAGAGATAAGAGCTGCTAAATTATTATCTCACTTCACATATATTATTTAATTAATCTATACAAATATTATAAAGAGGAAAGATTTGTATTTTTGTATGTATTAAAATAACTCAAAAACTACTGAGCCGATTTCAAAAATTCTTTTACCATTAAAAATGTAATTATCTGTGAGTGACGTAGGCTTTTTTATATTTTTTAATTTACGGGCGAAGTCGCAAGAAACAGCTAGTTTTTTGATATGCATCTTCTAGTTACAAGGTTAATAAGTACGATATATGCGATAAAAAAATAATCACTATGACAGAGCATAATCTATCACGAATTACGGTCGGTAGCATGATGCAACGATATGACAGAAATATAATTCAATTATTACTAGCTTTCGCCCGCGACTCCATCAGCGTGGAATTAAAAAAAAACAAAAGCAGGTAGCCTATATGTCCTTCCAGACTATCCTCCACATCTCTACCAAATCTCATCAAATTGTGTTCAGCTGTTTAGTCTACAAACTCTAACAAACATCCATCCATTTAAACTTTCGCATTTATAATATTAGTATGATTACATTTACATGTTTGTAAAAAAATACGACCTTTTCTTCCAGGAGACGAGGCGCGATTAAAATGGAAATATCTAAGAGACCAAGCGAGAAAGGAAGTACGCAAGCCAGACTCGGAATGGGAATATTTACCCAAGCTGCAGTTTCTAACCAGCCAGTTCAATGATTACGAGAATAATGAAGCAGCAGACGAACAATATCCACAGGAGTATGAACCTATAGACACGTCCGCACCGTACTACGCCGAGCCGACGAATGAGGTTGTTAACGATGATGATTTCGATGAATTCGATACGAAACCAATAATAATGGAAACAGACTTTTATGACGACGATGAAGAAGCTCAGAGAAGTGCGACAGGAGAAGAGCCAGCGAAGGATGAAGATATCGGCTTCTTTAACAGTCTGCTTCCTCATGTTAAGAAATTGGTGCCAGCTAAGAAGTTGATGCTCAGAATGAAGATCCAAGAGTTAGTTTATAATACGGTTTATAGTGAGAATTGAAGTATTCTAAATGTGTAAAGGTATTTTCTACTGAGATATTTGCTCTTGTATTTCAGCTGTGGTTGAAGATTGTAAGTCACTGCATGTCATCAACATCATCATCACCAGCTCACTATACGTCCCCACCGAGGGGCTCGGAGCCTACCCTAATATGGGGTGACTAGGCCATAGTCAACCACGCTGGCCAAGTGCGGGTTGGTTGACTTCACACATATCTTTGAATTTCTTCGCCGATATGTGCAGGTTGCATCACGATGTTTTCCTTCACCGTTAGAACGTCGGGTAAATTATGTACATATGAAAATTCGAAAAATCGAAAATCACATTGGTACATGGCGGGATTCGAACCCAAGACCTGTAGATTACAAATCAAGTGTTCAAACCACTGAGCCACCGACGCTCTGTATCACTGCATGTGATTTGAACAAATTTGGAAAGAAGCGGAGTTGTACAACACAAAATTGAAAGTTGCGTTAGTTTTGCTGGAGTTTTGTCAGGCAAAGTTCGAAATCGAAGAACGGTATGATTACAGATTTGTTTTAGGACCCTATATTGCGATATGGACCTTCAAAGCGCATTGATTTCAGATATACTCATCTTAAGGAAGGGCCTTTTTAATTTTTTACAAATTATTAAAGAATCTCGGCGGATATAAAGTGTATTTTTTTTAAATAGATTTTTAATCTTTTCATTATACTAATATTATAAATGCGAAAGTTTAGATGGATGGATGTTTGTTAGAGTTTGTAGCATAAACGGATTAACGGATTTCGATGAAATTTGGTTTAGATGTAGAGGATAGTCTGGAAGGACACATAGACACATGCAGACGAAGTTGCGGACGAAAGCAAGTTATGAATAAATATTTGTTTATTTGATTACTAAGAATTAGTTATAGTTCTTCTTACTTCTACATAAATGGTTTTTTAAATTTCTTCAACATTTTATAAATCGTTTCCATGGCTCTGAGATGAACATGGTGGCAAAAAACTACTAAACTACTTTTACTATTTAAAACATAATTGGACTGAATTGATAGTTTTTTGTTTTGTATATTTGTGAAGTAATCTTGATTGAAATAAGTTATAAAGTTTGTATTGGAGATGTGGCAAAAAAATAATTTAATTTGATTATTTATAGATCTAAGAAAAATAGTACAACATAAATTTGTAGATAATGTTAGATTTTTTCTTGGGTTTTTTAATTAATTGGTATTTTTGTTATTATAGGATATTTTTTCATTTTAAACATTGTTAACGCACACTTACTCAAGAATTTAATATATTATTACTTTTAATTATATCCTAAATTTGTCGCATAATTATTGTTAACTCAGTGCACAATTTGAAACATATACTTAAATTTCTATTACAAGTATCAAGAGGTACAAATCGTCATATAATTTCTTGTTTTTTTTTTCAAAAAATTTATTCTTTTATTTTTGTCTATTTCAATCATTCCATAAAGATTAGTTATAAGTATAAAAATGTAAATTTAGACATTACATTACATTTAATAATAAAATTAGTATTATTTTTTATATTAAAACTTTTCGGTAAGATGTAAGCAAATAAAACGTCTGAATTCCAGATGGGTACATACAAAACATCCTGTATGTGTATCCAAATCGTAAATCTACCACCCTGTATATCTTATTCGAGATTTCGGTTATAAATGTTTCAATTGAAAATTACATTTAATTTCAAAAACCTTTCTCGGCTGAAGATCATTCGTGCATTTACTTCAACACAATATTGCATTGTCGAAATGCATTCAGACTGTAAGTTAGTTTTCACTGGGAAAAAAAAAATATTTCATTTGTTTATTAAAAATAACGTAATGTCTTAAATAACAGTTAACAGTTTAAACTCAAGCTTAAAAACATCTTTTTGACCGACATCCAAAAGAAAGAGGTACTCAATTTGACTGTATGTTTTTTATTTATAAGTTTTTTTTAAGAATGGAGGTATAACATGACAGTAGAAATTTACGGTTATTTAGTGTGTAACTTACTGTCCTTTATGGTATAAAAATAATAATCCTGGTAATGAGTACAATCTTACTTATTTAGTAATATTATAAATTCGAACGCATAGATGTTTGTAACCTAATGACTAAACGGATTTCGATGAAATTTGGCATAGATGTAGAGGATAGTCTGGAAGAACACATAGGCTAGAACGGAGTCGCAGGCAACAGCTAGTAAATATATAGTTAGGTGTAACATTTGCGTACATACTAATTATTGACGTTGCTTTGAGGTTAGGTAAACTAATTCACTCACAGGGTATTTTCAGTACCAACATAAACAATAACATTTCGTTTGTGTTCAGATTATAACCGACGATAATTGTATTTAGGTTGCCTAAAATAATACATCTGTATCGATTTAGCGTGCGTTCGCACGGGCAGACTTTGTACGCCGCGGTAAAGTTCAAGGTCAGCAGACTTTTTACGCCCACGAGATAGGTGTTC